GGAAAATTGTTAATATTTTTTTAAATGTATTAAAATTTTTTACCATTTTCATATATTTTTTCAAGATGGTCAACAGCGCTTAAAGAAAAAAGTTTATAGCCTGCTTTTGATCCTATTGCCAAAGATCTGAAATAAATTTGGTTTCCATATGAATGAAGTATTATTAACAGTGCATAGAACTTCAGAATATCTCAAAATCACATTAAAAAAATAAATACATTAACAACTATTAAAAATTTACTAAGAATGAGAAATATATACATAACATTACATTTCAATAAGAGATCTACAATATGAATAATATAGATTAAGTAATAAGGAAATATTAATTCCTTGTTTGAAGGTAACTTGAAATATCAATGAAAAATAAAAACAGTAGAAAGACTAAAAAAATTATATAGTAGAAAATATAGTACGCATAAAAACTTTTCTGATATACAGCGTAATCAAATTGAATCATTGCTGTGTCAGTAATACGCAATTAATAGGTAAAAGGCGATGAATAACATAGAGAACGGAAACATTACAAGAATTGTAACAACGTATGCTTTAGTAAACATATCGAAAATACGAAAATATTACTACACATAATTGAAAAAGAAAAAATAAATTACTACATACAATTATATATTTAACTTTCTCCATAAAATGAAATTATTTGAGTGCTTAATGAAGTAAAAATAAGGTTAGGGAACAAAGGACGACATCCTCGGTTTAATAGTCGAGAGTGCGACACTTACGTGCAATCCTGATTGAAGTTAACAAAGAAAACACGACTTGGAGGATCAGTAGTCTGATTTGCGAGGTTCATTAGTCCTGATATACTGTATTTGAATCCTTGCGTCAATACATCCACGTTATGCACGAGATTTTGCATAAATCGCACGAACGGTGCGCGTAAGAACAACTTTATCCACTTCTTTCTTAATTTCTTTTTATATCCTTTTCTTTCTTTGTTTTTATTACCTCCCTTTATCTGTCTCTTTTCTTTCTCGCACGTACGTTAATACAAATACACGCACGCGCACGCTTATACAAGATTTGTGAACAGATGTCGAACCTGACGTCCAATGATTCTTATAAGTAACTATATGGTACGTACAGTATACTGCTTAAACTACCGTCGTTCCATATATTGAACAGCTGACAATCTCTGTTGAACTCAAGGAACGATGAAATTGAAACATCAAATTTTACTTCATATATTTCGTTGTCATAACAACTAATGTGAAAAATCACATATCTCTTTTACATTGTCTTTCAATAATGAATTTGATGTGTTCATTATTGCATTTTTATTAAATCATTTCATACTTTTTTATATTCCATATAATAAATTATTTTTTAAAATTA